TGAGGAACTTCCACCTTCCATCTCTAGGTCTCTGCTACATAACCACAATCTTCTTACATTAGTTCTAGGATTCTACCAGACCACTGGTTTAAGGAGCAAAAATGCCAATCTTTTGTCCTCACAGAGCTCTAATCCAGCCTACCCTGAGATACTGAATTTTGGTGTCACCAGACAAGCAAAACAGATCTGCTTGAATTAGAAACTGCAGCACCGGAATCCCACTCCTCTTGAACTTCCCTAGATGGATGGAACCACTCAGCTGGTGTAAAGCACCATAGCTCCACTGAGGTCACCAGCTGAAGAGGTGTCACACAGGTTTTTATGGCCAGAAAGGACCTACAATGATCTTCTAGTCTGATATCTTGCATAACACAGGCCACAGAACTCCACCCAGTAATCCTTGCAGTGGAGGAACTTGATCTTCCCTGCTGTTTAAGTGAATATTATCAAGTCCAATAGCTTGTGATGGTCATCCAATAATTTTGTGAAAATTCCAGTTTGGCTCTGGACCCAAATTCCACGGCTCGGGCCCATCTTGAATTTAAAAGGTTGGATCCTGTAACTGAACGTTATTTTACAACACAGTTCAGTTGTGCGCTATCTCTGTTACAAAATGATTTAAATGACTCCCAGCATGGGGAAAACATGCCTGTATCGGGAGGTTCTTCCCAGCAACACAAATGCCAATGCTGATAAAGACTGGTGCTTAACTTTCCAATAACTTTAACATAAAATTCCTTGTAATGAACTCTCTCCTCACAGACCAACAAAACGCACATAATCTCGTCAATAGCATTAACAGGACATTAGCACCTTGCTTTTTTGTTTAGATTGAGAGCCATTTGGGGCTTGTGTATGCTGGATTTTTATCCACCAGCGGAGGCGAAAATGCCAGTATAGACAAGCCCGCCAAATGACCACACCGTTTTCACCCCAATCCCAAAACAACACAAAAAACCAAACACTTCAAATAAAGTCACAGCATCGCTGGGAGTCAATTATTGTTAAAAAATTAATTCAGCCATCGGATGCACAATTGTCTAAAATGAGTGGCTGTTCATCCTCCTGGCTGATGACCTTGCCCTTCCTGGCACCGTCCCTTTAACAATCCTGGTTTTTTGCATTTACATAGAACTCAAAGTGCATTTGAAAGAAGATAAATGGTATGAATGCCATTGTACAGATGTGGAAATTGAGGCTGAGAGAGAAGTGACTTACCCAAAGGTCACTTAGCAGGTCTGTGTCAGAGCTGATACTAGAATTCAGGTCTCCTGACGCCCAGTATCTTGCTCTAATCACTAAACAACACTACCTTTCTATGGTTAGTTATCTTCACTAGTTGTGTCATGTCTAAAACTTGATGGCAAACTCGGGGACAGTGATTGTGTCTTCTTGTTTGTTCTGAGACATAATTAGCACTTTTTGGGGTGCTGTAACAATTAATAATAATTGTTAAATACAATTCAAACATGAAGTAACATTCATTTCCCAACACATTGGTTCAACTTCTTGTCATCTTGCCTTACGAGCAAAGCATCAGCTGATATACCACATGCTGCCACTATGGTCATCATCCACTATTAGGAATCAATCAGTCTTAGGGTGACCAGAGGGCAAGTGTGAAAAATCGGGACGGGGGGTAATAGGCGCCTATATAAGACAAAGCCCCGAATACAAGGACTGTGTGTATAAAATCAGGACATCTGGGCTGTGGTCACCCTAATCAGCCTCTCCATCACTCCAATCTCATTCTGCCGCTGCCCTCTACTGGAGGAACTAAAACTGCTAATAAGTAATGGAAACGAGATTTGGACACCTGTACTTTTGGAGTAGGAGGTTCTGAGTTCTATCCCCCCTCACTCTAAAGTTTCCAGGAGCTATGGTATATATACACACACTTGTTCAGTTCTTGAAAGGAGTGAGAGGCTCCTGGCTGGCTGCTAGGGACCGAGTAAGAACTGAGCGTGTGGAGGGCTACAGAAAGATGCCCTGGGAATACAGCCCCATACCAGGGCTGGACTACTTGAAGACTAAAGCCCAAGGAGGGTTAAAGAGAGACAGGCCCTGTGGACTGTATACCCCAGAAGGGATTTGTGCTGGCTAATGGGCAGACAGTGTGACTCAGCCGGAGTCACTGAAAACCCACCTGAGAACCACTGAAAGGGGTCTCCAGACCTAAAGAACGTAGACACGCCCCATCAGAAGGGGGCACTCGTGAGAGGTGGGTGCCAACGCCGTTACAGAGACAAAACACTGACAGACAGATGTGGGTGTGCAAGGAAACAATGACACAATATTGGTCAGCATGACAGGCAGTGATCTCAAGATAGCAGCTATCTACCCGTTAAGTTTTTTATAGGCATCGTGGCAAAGGACAGTTTTGAGGAGGGTTTGAAAGGAAGATGATGCTAGTTTTTTGGGATCTTTAGAGCAGGCTGCTCCCAAGCATCAGGAGCAGAAGAGAAAGCACAAAAGGTGTTGGGTTTTTTTGAAAATTTAATAAGTGGGTGGTAGCAGCATCACCGGCAGCAAAAGTCAACATCTCAATAGCAAATGAGAGATGCATATGTAGGGTGGAAAGTGGGGAAAAAAGCAGCTTACATTGGATCCAATGAGAAGAGAGAGCCAGTGAAGAGATGCACGGAGAGGGGTGACATGGTCAAGGCACTGGGCTAGAAAAATGATCTTTGCAGCAGCATTCTGAACCAACATTTAGTTGCACTTGGATGGGTCAGTTTAGAAGGTAAAGTATTTGTAGAGCGATAAATGCATTACCCGACACACTTTATTACTTGATATCTCAGTTTCTGTAGAAACATAAAAGTCCAATCTCAGAACATACGTAATACAAGATCACTGTCATTTTTTATTCCACTTTCTCTCTAGCCCCTCTCCTAAGGCTCTTGTCCACGGCCTTGCTCATTTTTCACTTTGACTACTGTAAGTCTCTGGCCCCTCCTATCTCCAATCTATCCAGAACACTCTAGACCACAGTTAACTTCATCTCCTCACAATTTGAATCCCTTCACTAGCCTGCTGTCTTTTACAGCAATAATGTCAAACCCATCCTCACCTTCGAGACACTACATAACCTTAGAGCCTACACCTCTGCTTTAATTTCCTTTTACTCTTCTCCCAAGTTCTCCCTTTACTATCCTTTTCACCATCTCACTCTAGTTTTCATGCCTTTTTTCGTGCTGTCCCCTCTGCTTAGAAACATCTACCAAATTCTTCTCTATTAAGTGCTCCCTCTCTTTTCTTTCTTCAAAATCCTCCTCTTTCAGAAGTCCTACTTTATTTTCTGCAGCAATATTTCCTCCACATCATCCTTTACCTAAACTTCTGTGATATGTTTCATCCGGTCTCTCAGGCCCAGATTCAGCAAGGTACTTAAGCATGTGGCTAACTTTAATAATGTGGGTAGACTCATTAAAATCAACAGGATTATAAAAATGCTTAGAGTTAAGCAAATGTTTAAGTACTTTGCTGAATCAGGGCCTCAGAGCGTAAGTTTTTGGGGGCAGGGAATGTGTATTGCTCTGTTTTATAACCCAGCATGCACTTGCAGTACTAGATAACAGATTAGCAGTAAAAAAATAAGTGGCTTTAGATACTAATCAGCTCTTTCATGTAACGTACAGCACACCAGAAGATATCATCACATATGAAGTAATATTTGTTTTCCATAAACCATTTCTGAGTCTCAGGATCATGGCTTCCAAGTAACCAATCGGAGTGCAAACAAGCATGAAGCAAGAGCCGTTATAGTTCCAGAATCCACCGCCTGTATTTGTGCATCCAGAAAATACAGGCAGCAGGTTAAAACAAAATTCCTTAATGCAATGCAGATGTTGAAACCCTATATAATCTTTCTCAGAATATCGTTCGGCAAAATACTTCCAGGAAAATGATCATTTTTGTGTCTTCATTGAGATAAGTAGTCTATTCTTGTATTTGTACAAAAGTACATATTTTTATTCTTCTGGAAGTGATTTACTGTTAAATACTTTAAATAATGTAGTAAAAGGGCAGTTTACTAGAAATCCAAACAACACATTTTCAACTTTCAACATAAAACCACACTGACGCTGGCATATATATCAAATCAACAATTCCCGACGTGGAACAACCAGCTGAAGAAAGCGGTTAAAATACTCACTTGTATTTTAAAGGGACTTGTGATTTTGCTTCTGTTTGCTCTGTTAGCTTTATAATGACACTTCATGAGCTCACTTTTAGAAAATACAATAAATTCTAATAGACATGGCCCATTCCTGCAAGCTGTCGAGCACCAGTAATGACCCGTAAGAGCCCAAAAGTTTAATTTTAAAACAAATTTAAAAATGTATCTTTCAGTAGTCTGATAGTCCATTAACTATTTTGGAGGGCTTCCCCTCCACCCTCTACTATGAATATTTACATGTATTTAACAAGAAAAAAAAAAAACTTGGACCTTTCCTTTTAACACCATAATCACTATACCTTGTGCTAAAACACGCCTTGGCTTTCAGCCTTAGAATTTATTAACCTGATATATAGTTATTTACTTCCTAAAGATAGTACACCTCTACCCCGATATAACGCGACCCGATATAACACGAATTCGGATATAACACGGTAAAGCAGCGCTCTGGGGGGCGGGGCTGCGCACTCCGGCAGATCAAAGCACGTTCGATATAACACGGTTTCACCTATAACGTGGTAAGATTTTTTGGCTCCCGAGGACAGCGTTATATCGGGGTAGAGGTGTAGTACTTATAATTTCTACTTGAATAGCACCTTACGTCTCAGTACCTCAAAGCATCTTACAAATATTTATGAACTGAGCATTACAACACTCCTGTGAAGCAGGTATTACCGTTCTACTTCACATAAGGGAAAACTGAGGCAGAACAATGGTAAATTATTTGCCCAGTGTCACAAAGGAAGGCTGTGACAGAGCTGGAAACAGAAATCAGATATTCTGACTCCCACTGCTATCAACCACGAAATTCCTAGGAGTTTTTTCAAACTTTTTATTTCGGCTTTTAACACATTATAATGATTGGTACAATTTTTGTTTGCAGTCATAGCATAAGAAGAAACAGCGTGGCCTGTTACCATATATGTACGATTTGTGATTTAACGATCTCTGACACTTTCAACATTAAGTGCTTGATCCTGTAGTCTGTGGTCAGACAAAATTCCTATTGACTTCAGTGGAAGTTTTGCTTGAGCAAGGACTGAGCCTCATTAAACTTCTGAAAACAAAATAGGGAAATTCATAGTTAAGGCTCTCGTGTCATCATTAACTCACCCAGTTGTGCCATGATAGCATAGCTCATGTGGACTGTGCAATCTTCTACATGTAAGACCTAGACAACAGGTGATTCAAAGAAAAGAAAAGAAAAAAGCAGCCTTATACTTCTAATTTTTGTTTGTTTGCATTACTGAAAACCCGAACTTTATCGGCCAGATCCTCGACTGGTGTGAATCAGCATAGCTCTCTTGACTTTGTGGGATTCTGTCCATTTAAATCAGCTGAGGATCTGGCCCTATATTTAAAATAAGCATAGGGTCATATCAGAGGTGTCCTTGAGACTAGTTACCATATCAATACAGCCTTTACATTCCTTCCACTTCCATGGTATAACCCTAAAGATAGTAGTAGTTATAAGGATCTATTACTACTGATCTTATATGGATATTAAACAATTTTTGAACTTTATTCTAACTGTGTATTGATACCCTGAAATGGCTTCTTCCATACAGAATGGACACTGCATTGTAAACTGCACTCTGGAAAACAGTTGAGTAATTCAAAAACATATTAAATCAATTATAATTATAGTGTATTGCTATGATAATTAGAACATTGCCAGCTGCATATAACCCTACTCAGAAAAGAACAGCTGTTACATGGGTAATGGAAAAAAAGAATATTCAAGCATAAGGTTTATTTTCACTATGTCACAAACTGCTGTGTTATGAAACCAGTTACTATCTTTCTCACATCTCACAAAAGGCTGACATGAGAGCTCTCCTTTGATTTATGTTTCTTATAAACAACTGTTGCTCTCATGATTTATACAATAAAACATTCATATACTGTACAGTGATGTCACACAAGATTAAGCCGTGGGTGAAAAACCCCAGACATGGTCTTTGCAATCAAAAAGTTTAGCTGGTTCTTTTCTCATTAAGCTTTTGATGATGTTGCCAACTTAGGTTCAGATGCTGTCTATTCTGGGTCATCATCTTCTTCAGCTGCCATTGTCGCCTGTCTCTGCAGCTCTTCCTCTGGGTTCCCTGGAAGAATGCTGGAGACTGTCTGAAGAAGTGACTCAATCTGCTCTTCTGTTAGTCTTTCTTCACTTTCCTCTACCATCTGCAAATCCAAAACAACCTACTGTCATTGTAAAATCCACACTTCCTCCCTCACCTCCAGAGCGAAGATTTACCCAGTTAGGAGATGCTGCATTAACTGGACATTACACATTGTCTGATATGCAAACTAAACTTGCTTGTAAAAAGTTGAATCCTTTTGATAAAAATGTACTGCAGAATGATAGTTGCTCCATAGTTATGATCGGAACTAGCTCTCCACTATAAGCCAGATTTGTAAGACCCCATCTTCTCCAAAAAGAAACTTATTTTCCTAAAATGTCACTTTCCATATGTCATCCCAAGGTATATTGGTATTTTTAAAGTAAAAGTGTAAAAATGAGCCCGTTTTAAAGTTATAGTGTTATGAACATTTGGCAGAAGTTTTCTTTTGGACATTTTTCTAAGACTTTGGGCTCAGGACCTCTCTAACATGACTTGGCATAACATTGTCGAAAAGCGCCTGAGTGATTTAGGAACCTAGGAGCCTAAAGTAAATAGGCTTTAAGCGCTTAGATCATTTTTGAAAAAGGAACTTGGGTGCTTTTGCAAACATTGTCTTTGCTATAGAGATTCCAAATTTCCTTCTTTTTTTTTCAGTTAGCCTGCTGGGGAAAGGAATGCCTTTTAGGTTTTGTTTGTTTGTTTTTAGGGGTGTTATTTTTAAATGTAGAAATATAAACATTTAGGGTGGGATTTTTAAGAGTGCTCAGCACTGTCCTCTGTTCCGACTGAAATCAATGGGAATCTTTGCCATGCTTCAATGGGAACAGTTAGGCCAACACTGAATGCTTTGCACCTTTACGGTTTTTCCTTTTATTCATAAAAACATTTTACTATTCATTCAACACAGTGCACTAGCAGAAAACATAGGGAGCTCTGCCATACGCTAAGGCACCCTAAGTACTTAATTTTGAAACAGTTAGCTCTAAAAAAGTGAACAGTATATTAATTCTCCTGTATACATCCAACAACATATTATTACTTTAGAACACAACAAAAGGGGATATAGTACAGGCAACGTGGCAGGGTGTAACTTGCATGGGTTGATAGCAAGTTTGGAGAAATATATGGCAGGAAGAAAATGGCTGCATCTCTTAACTATTCACTTCCAGACTGTCATACTTCTAATTTTTTTTTCCTGAAGTAAAATTTCCATGGAAATTATAAATGATATTTTGGGGGTCATTCATATCTGTTGACACAGTAAGCTAGATCCACAAAGGGATTTTAGGCACCTAAGTCCAAAATTAAGATCCTCAAAACTTTTTTCAATTTACTTTTCCTTGCTAAAGCAACTGAAAAGTCTTGAATTCAAACAACTGACCTGTCACCCTATTACTAACAGTGCTGGCGAGAGAGAGAGAGAATGTAGTCTACCTGGTTTTGCACCAGATTATAGTGTTATATTATCAATTAGTAAGTATTATTGTAGCGCCAGAGCCCTATTGTGCTAGGCACCGTACAAACATACAACAAAGACAGACCTGTTGCCTCTTAGAGAGTCAAAGCTAGTTAAGATTGAATGATTCATTCTCAGTGCTAATGATAGTGCATTAATTGTCCAGAATGTGGCTGCATTTGGTAAACTGTAGTGTTTAATCCTGCTGCAATTCCTCATGTGAATAGTCATGCTGACATTAATAGTAATACTTGAATAAGGAAATCTTGCAGGACGGGTTGATTCCAAACAGTGACTTAAGCATTCACCCTCGTTCTTCTTTAGAAGTACTTATATATTGGAATGGGATAAAGTCTTTGTGTTTGGGATGGGCTGAGCGCGTGCTATTGAGGTCTATGTTTCTGCAGAGGTGAAGTATAACCAAAGAGCTCAAGGATCAAAAGAATAAACTAGAAAATTAGATTTCCTTCCCCCCTCCAAAAAAAAGAAACAGCAAGTGTAATGACATGAAACGTTTTATGCAGTTAGAAAACAGCAAAGTAACAAGATAAAGGAGACATGCAAAAGATTAAACATGAACGAGATACAGATAAAGAGACAAGTGGAAATGAGTCAAATAAAAACATCAAACCAGGGAAACAGAAGGAGATTCAGTGGCTCGTTCTAAGTGCACCAGACTTTAGCACACTTCTGATTTGCACACAGGCTCCTGATTTACAATTATAAGACAAAATGCTCCCTGATTACTGAGGAAACACTAACCTCACAGAAAAAATAATATAGAAGGAAAAACACAGAAGGAGGGAAAGAAACAAACCTTTTAAGTACTAACATTTATAACTAAAGTTTCACAAACAAAGGAACAAATACCAAATCACTTATGGATTATAAAGCAGTCCTGCTAACCTCTATCCTGCAACTGGCTAAAGTTGTAAAAGCAACAAACTCTAAGCAGAAGGGCATACAAAACTTTAAGCTAGGGGAAAATAAAATACATTTTTTTTGTCAATGAATTATATATAGTGTATTTATTGGCAGGACCACACAATCCAAATGGAGATAGATTACCTCAGCAAATGATGCCATGTGGAGACTGTATGGCATAGTCAGCCAACATTTCAATTGGACTGACATTTTTAATGTTTATTATGTTCTCCTTGTTTATACTATGTTTGGAGATGCGGGTGGGCTTTAAAAAAGCCTCATGTGACTAGTGGAAAGCACCTGGCATTACAATAACAGAAGGTACATGTTAAAAAACACTCTCCAATACAACCAGACCGGCATGTGTCTCTCTCAAGGCTCAGAGTAAGAACCTTATTAAAATCAAAGTGGAAGAAATGCAATAAATCATAGTGTCCATGCTACTGGTTCTTATAAATAATTCCAAAGATGATGCTGCATTTCAGCACTCACCTTTTTGCTACCCTAAATCATTGTAAAATTTCTCTGTAGCAGATGCTGTAGCATATGAGTTGCATTTATATATATTTGCATTTGAATATATATATGAATATATGTTTTTTATTTCAGGAAAATGCAATTGTGTGGCTAACAAGATCAAATTTATTGCCATGCTGCAGTCAATCATGCTTCCCATTTGACACAGACAAATACTTCAATTCAATTATTACATTCCAATGGGATATGTTAATACTAGGAGCAACAGTCACGAGTTTTTTCTCCTTCTACTCAGCAATGGTCACTATGATAGGTTCAATGCAGGAGTCAGGAGAAAAGATATGGTAAGTGAGCACTATTCTGTAATATGATTGGAGTAAAATATTTTCAGCTGAAAAAGGGCTGTTTCCTTAGGCATTTGGGCCACAAATATATATTGCAAATGCTGGAGAATAAACAATACAAAAAACTTTAAAATACCCTGCACTGGTGAACAATTTTTGATGTATGAAGAGAACAATCTGTGGGTTGCACACTATTGCTTTTCTGTAGATAATAGTTTCAAGACCGTATTAAATGCAAAAATCAATAACAAAAAAGAGAAAGGTGCATTTTGGTACTTCTCAGAGCTATAATCACAATATACTTTTGTTCCAATGTAGGAGACACTTTAAGCAAGGAAATACCTGCGGTTTCCTCAAATGTAGAGTAATTCCAAGATGTTCAGCACAAACATACTAAGAAGACAGACCATAAGAAAAAGAAATACAGCAAAAGGCGGAATGGCTGGATTCATCTCCTTGTGATAGGAAACTAGACAAGTACGCAATGTGCATTGTTTGAAATGAAACATGAAATGTTTAAACCTTCCAGCCTTTTGCATCTTCCAGAGGAATAGGTGTTGTTATTCTCTGGTCAACAATAAATGGCAATCTGCCAGTTTGGTTGCATGGAGTGGATCCCATGAGGCAGTGAACTCCCAGGTGTGGAAGTCTAGTTTTAAAATATGTAAAATTAACACCTACTGCTCCAATGAGAGACAGATGTTGAGCAATCTGTTCTTTAAAGAGAAGCTCCTCAATCTTCTAACACATCATTGTTAAGCATTACATAAAGTTGGAACCCATGTCATGGTTAGATCAACATCACTGTCTTTCTTTCTTTCTCTGTGTGAGTCACTGAGCCATGAACAACATATGTTTGAGATTAAAGCTAGAGGTCAAGACAGCTGTACTGCATACAATGTTTTATCCAGTGGGATAAGGATTAGAATTTCATGCTGCTTTTGTTGTTATCCTTTAAAAACTATCTCAGCACAGAGTCTGGAGAAGGCAACTATAAACAAAGTGGAATGATTTATGCAAGAGGAGGACAAACAAAAAAGACCTGAACTAAAACAAAAAAAGATACCTCACCACAGAAAGATGCCTTTTAGATTAAATATAGTTACCCTGACTTATATCTTGTGCACTATTACAGGGCAGGAATTATACAGGAGAGAATAAAAAGACTTGAAGCCAAAAAGGAAACAAATAGTATTAAATATCCTTTTACATAAATTACTCAAAATAAGTTGGGGGAATTACACACACACACACACACACACACAAACACACACACACACACACTCTTTTGGGGACGTGGCTTGTTTTGTAATTTGTTCCAGAAGGTAACTCTTTTTAAAATTGAATAAATTCACCTGCTTTTTGTGAAACTTATGGTTTAAAATGTTCAATATCAATTGCTTCAGATCTGTATCCAGGGATGAGTCAAAGCTTTTAAGAAAAAAAAAGTTCACAGTGCAATCAAGATCATTTCAGAGTTCATATTAATTTACCTATATATTTTACCTTTCAAATCCTCTACTCCAGCTAACAGACTTGCTTTCATGGAAACTTGTGTATAGACAATCCTTGTCCTTCTGAAGTCAATGACAAAACTCCCAGTGGCTTCTGTTTTTATGTATTAAATTCCTTATAAATACATGGAGGTTCTACTTGCTTGAGGATGCTGTAACACTAACTCTTGTTAACAGTAAACAGCCATTCATTACACAGATCCCAAAGGCAACCTTCCCAAAAATGGCCTGTGACAGCCTAATATTTGTTACTCCACAAAGATTGACTAGTTTAATAAAGGACCTATATAGTTTAAGTTTTCTGCTGACTTAATTTGACACAATGCCATGTGTATATATGAGCAATCCACTCATCTTAAACCTATTGTGATGTTGGAGAAACTTGCACAGGTACATCAATAATTCACTCTATTGTCTAGTTTGGGCTACAGTTTGGGGATAAACTCAAGATTAGTTGCCAACTGTAACATTACATTACCTCCTAAGAGTAATTTCTAATTATATAACAGGTTGCTTTGGGTTACTTAGAGAATGGTTACATACCAAAATTGGTGAATTCGCATTTAACTTGTTTTATTGTTGCAACACATCAGTTTTAATAGAGCAATTTTAACTTTTATATTGCTAAACCTTGAAAGAGTTGAGGTACAAATGATGTACCAATGCAGTCCCTTTACTCCAACTCAAAAGTCATATTTTGCTTACACCTGCCTCACGGATTGGAAGCTGAAACTAATAGCTGGATATTGGAGCATAAACAGATACACTCCATGTGATGTGGATAGACAAGATAATTAGTGACTGAGGGAGCAGTCAAATACAAAGGATGTCTTGAAAGTGACAATAAGATGAGTATATTTTAAGAAGAAGAGAATACAGAATATGAACTATGCTGAAACCTAATGAATTGTAAGTGCAATGCAGGAAGCTAATAGAAAGACAGAGAAACTCTAAAACATTTGAAGGCTGTACTTCTTCACTTCTGAAAAGCTGCCTAACAAAACGAGTGAAGCCTTCATGCTCTTGTTTGTAGCTGCAGAAAGTGGAATTAACTCATAGATAAACTTGACAATAGCAGTTCCATGGGACTGTTCCTCCTATCAGCTGTTTTTACTGCTAGAAATTCTAGTTCTTGGCTATCAAGGATTGTGAGAAATATAGGATGTAATCCTACTAGCATCCACTTCTAACCCTTACCCTTTTGCAACAGAATGCAATCCTGCTATTACACAATCAAGTGTCAGGATAAGATTGTCAACAGATGTTCTCCATGCAAGACAGCCTTATTAGAAGAACAGCCTTGTTATAATAATCTCCTTATTAATACAGCATTTGTGTTCTTTACACGATGCTCTGGAGAACATTTAACAGATCTATCCCTTTTTGTCTGTAATATTCCTTTATCCAAACGTTATGTTCCAGCAGATTGATAATGGATGACTTCCAACTGAAAGCTTCCCAGTGTACAGTTCTCATGCTACACAGTCACTTCAAAGGCACAGCGGCAATCATTGCTAACTATTGTTCTCTTCCAAATTTTTGCCTTCCCTGTACCTTAGAAAAATAATGAAAAGGAATATACCACAGTAGTTTCCTAAATCAAAATTCATATTCCAAAGTATTTGACTTTACAAAGCAACAGAAGAAACCCCTAGGTAAATGTATTCCAAGGACATGAGATTATACCTCCATTTAACAATTCTGATGGCTATTTTCAATCTGAAAGTTTCAGATTGAAACACTGACACAAACATGAGAGTGAAGAGTTGCCCCTGCTGTGGGTTCTGAGAGGAAGAGGGGCAAGTCTTATAGAGAGGTCTCATAGGGGAAGCAGAGAGGAAAGAAAACAAATAATCAGAAAACGTGAATATAAAGATGTGTACAGAAGTCCTATCAGTCAATGACCATGAGCAAACGATTATTCAATTGATCTTCAAGATTAAAGTTGCATTAATATATGGATTTTAAGCAGTTAGGAGAACTGTAACTTACCAGCTGTATCTCAACTGCAGTCATTGGCCTGTGGTTAAGCAACTGTAGCTTTTCTGCTCTGTTGAAAAGAAAACAAAAAATTATATAGGATTCTGAACAAATGAATGGTCAGATACAAACCCTTCCCTAATAACAGAGTTATTTCCAGAGGTCATTTTCACTAGAGTTGATGCAAAGTCTCTGACCTTGATTGTCATGATAATTCTGTAGATATCTATTCTTTGGCTATCTACCCAAACTGGTAATTTAGCAGACCAAGGTGGCAAAGCAGTTTCCATTACAATCCCTTGTTTCCACACATGCACAACTTACTGAAGCATTCATCTTTCGAGCTGGAATTTTCCATGCTTTGTCTCTGCCTCAAATAATTATTTATTAATAATATTTTGCACTCCTATAGCACCTTCGACCTGAGGATTTTAAAACACTTTACAAACATCAGTGAAATTAAGCCTCAACATGCATGAGAGGTAGGAAAGCACCACCAAGACACTGAACTTTACGATGAGTGGCTACTGAAAACCAAATTTCATCAGATATAGGATCCTTCCAAGCCCAAGGGATCAGCCACTTAACCAGGTCAATATATAAATCAGATCTTACCCAATAATCACACTGATGCCAATCCTTTAGTAGCTAAAAACTAAAAGTTTAATAATCTAAAAGAAGAGAGTTATTGAATGATTAATAGATCATATACATACAGGTGACTTTCAGTGTTCATAGATCAGGATCATAGCAGTGATGGAATGAACTGCTAGCTTGCATAAGTCTCTCTAGAATTGCCCAAATAGATTGGGGGTCATCAGTCCTTGTTTAGAGCTTCCTTGTTAAAAATCCAGTCCAGAGAAATGAAACAGGAAATGAAGACAAAAAGGAGATGTCTCAGGTGTCTTTTTATATCCTCTGCCATGTGCTTGGAATTTTACTATACTGTCCCAATCAAAGCCCACAGCCCCGGTTTGTGGAAAGTGACTGGCCAAAGATGGAGTTTAGGGTCACATGTCCTTACATAGCTGGCTGGATCACCGGGGTTGGCCATTGGCCTCTCGGTGTCTGAGGCATCCCCAGGGAGAGCTATCTGGGTGGGATAAGTTTCTTCTATGGCCCATTAGAGTGAAGTGTCCTTAATGGGCCATCAACACATAGCTGTCTAGCCTTGATGTAAATCTATTTGTGAGGTGTCACTCAGGAACAAACACATGTGAGATACAAATACATAGCCAATATTCATAACTTTAGATACAAAGATGATACAGGGATTTAACTATGATAAAGGTATTATATAAATGGTAACTTTTCCATTGACACCTTACATGATATACTTTGTAGAAGAGTTGTTGCAATTGTATAACAGTGGTAGCAGCAATGATACAAAGGGTCATTTTCAATCAAAAAGCATCACAAGCATTCTCCTTCTAAACCTTTCAGAAAACTGAAAGGTAAAAAGGCTAAGTGACTTATTCAAGATCACACATGAAGTCCATGACAGAAACAGAAAGAGAATTCATGTATTCTGACTCCCAGGAGAATCTAGGTATTCTGACCACAAGTCCAGGATTCCTTCTGTGTTGTGTTAAATTTGTTTTGATTTTAAGTATATATTTAGTGTTATAGTTACATTTTAAATTATTCAATTTCCATCCTTCTCTACATACAAGGAAAAAAATAAAATTAATTTAACATTTATATTTAAGCACACACATCAAATAGAGGGTTAAATTCTGCTTCTATTGAAGTCAATGGCAAACTCCCACTGACTTCAATAGACAAGTATCAGGGGGTAGCCGTGTTAGTCTGTATCCACAAAAACAACAAGGCGTCCGGTGTCATTATATAATGCCTGCATCTGTAATTTTCACTCCAGGCATCTGAAGAAGTGGGTTTTTTACCCACGAAATCTTATGCCCAAATAAATCTGTTAGTCTTTAAGGTGCCACCGGACTCCTTGTTGACTTCAATAGAGTATACACCCATAAAGCCTAACTATACCTTGGATTCACTCTGCATAATAATTCTCTCAATCTACAAATTAAAAAAAATATTACAATTGTTTTCCTCTTTAGAAGCTTTATTATTAAAGTGGAAAGAATGGAAGAAAACATATTTCAGTATTTATTTTACATCCTAGTGAAATATATATCCTCCCCAACAGCTAAGCCCCAAGGTGCTGTCATACGCCAGTATGTTTATCTCACTGCTCTCAAAAGCTACATTTTAACATTCTGGTCCTATTGACCAGGTCATGATATCGAAGTAGCAGTGATCTCAGCAGGCCTTAATGGTTTAGGGGAGACTCACACAGCTATATCACACTGCTAGAGATAGAACTGGTACGACTGGTGAGGGAATCTGCAGCAGTAATAAAGACAGCTTATCATAAAACGTCAGTAATTGTAATTTAGTAAGTTTAGATACAATGAAAAAGAGAGTTAAAATACAATTTTAAAACCCCCCTTTTGAATAAAAGTATTTGTTCAAGAACTATTTTAAAATTAGAGGAATCTCCTTTCTTTATTGCAATCTGTATTTGCCCAATATTTCTTTATTGTTGTTGTTATTATTAATGAGTAAATTAGAATAAAAAAAGAATCCGTTAATATTTATGGTTTTACTAGTTTGCCATCTAGTAGTAAGCTCCCATTTTAAAAGGACTAAAGCTTCTTTCCAGGTTATTTAATAGAATTCCAAAAAGCATTTAAATGTATATTTATAGCAACTCCAAATAGCTTCTCATCAGTTTCTCAGAACTGGAGGAGGTTTCAAGAAAGAAGAAACCTCACATTCTTCAAGAGGAAAGAGATGCCAAAACTCACAGAACTGTGCTCAGATGTCTGGGCCCTTGCAACCAGCTGGTCATTGTCTACATGCCTATGCCCTCCAGATACTAGGGATGTAAAATATGAAATGATTAAATGGTTGACCGATAAGTATTAGTCTTACCGTTAACCCTCCCTTGTTTACCCACCTCCTTCTGGGTGACGATCAGCTGGTAGAAGTCCTTGCTGGGTGCCGGGGCACAGATGCCATTTTTGGGACACCGGCAAGAGGTGATTATGGCAACCAGGAAGGGGTGGGCATCACAAGAGGTCACTGGGAGCCTAGCCCCCTCTTAAAGGGGCTGGGTCGATAGTAACACTCTAGCCCAACGGGGTCTTCGGCCCAGTGACGAGGAGGGTCCTGTACACCCCTTTGTTGGTAAAAACAGTCCCTTCAGCCCCGCTGACCTGAGGGGTGACCCCAGTGGAAGGATACCACTCGCTAGGCCAAGAAACACCTGGCAGTGCAGGGAAGCAGGACGAGCAAAGAGCCAGTCCAGGGCTTTCGCGGGGGGAGGGTGTCGCCAGCCAGCTAGAGGGAGCATGTTTAGGCCATGGGGGGCAGGCAGAGGCTGCGGGCCCCGTCGGGGAGTAAAGTAGTCCCTGGCCTCTGCCTGTGCCACTGGACAGCGCACTGGTCAGTGCTGTGGTTTCAGCTGATAATTGAAGGGAAGGGAAGCTGCTGCTGGGGTGGCACGGAGCGTCTGCAGAGGCCGCATCGGGATAAACTAGGTACCTGGGGCTTCTTTCCCTTTTCCTGGGTACTGACGATGCGAGGGGGTGCTGGGACCCCTCAACTGCCCCAGGCGCTCCTGGCTAGGCCTGTTGTGTCACCCCCAGTATGAGTTCAGCTGCCCTTCCCCGTCTTTCCGGGGCAAAGAGGGAGGGGAGACGCACCATCCTAGGCACTGTGAGGCCCGAATCGGTTAACCAGTTAACCCATTAACTGATATAATTTTAATAGTTTAAACAGGTACTTTTTAAAATGATATTTACATCCCTACCAGATACCATTTCAGTCCTCAGACATAGTACCAGATTTCCAAGGCTGACACACACCTTACAATATTTAAGACACTTCAATGCCTTATCACTTATGTATGCGCCCTAGTAACCATTCAACAGCCAAGGCATTAACATGAGAAAACAGTGACAAGTGATATGCTGCTCTGGTTTGTGTGTGTGCACGAAAGAGGGAATTTAATACTCATGAAAGGACCCTGAATGACAGCCCTGGAGACTGAAGCCCTCTGTTTATCCACAGAACATACACAGCATAAGCAGCAGTAGTACAAACTTTTCCAGGCTGCTCCACCAATATGTCTCTACTCCGACCTGAAGGAAAAATCCCACATTACCAAAGACAGGATGACCTGACAGGTCTTTACCATCTCTGATGTCCATGATTCTATGAACAGAGTATTCCTATGAGAGAGAGAACACGGCTCATTCAAATCTGAACCACGCTGGTGAGGCTGAAACAATGGTGATAATTATGTGTGGTGATTTTTGTGATGTGGATGCATACCCATTAAGAACTCAGACTACCTTATTTCACAGGAAACTCCAAAGAGCTTCATTTCAAAAATTTGGCCAAAAACAATGTCCTAAAGGAGAAAGACTCTATCTTATCTTACCTAATTCCCTGAGCCGTTCAGTTACCATTTTTATAAAAGCACTGGAAACTGTTCTAAAATAAGTCTCAACTTTAATACATTCACAATACAGTTTTTAATAATAATACGCCTGTGAAATACTTTATATTTAACAATACAAAAAACTCTACATTTGAATTCAGCACTTGAGATGACAGCATGGTCATGGATGCATCCCTTAGGCCTGGTCTACACTACGACTTTAATTCGGATTTAGCAGCGTTAATCCGAATTAACCCTTCACCCGTCCACACTACAGAGCCAGTTAATTCGAATTAAAAGGCACTTAAAATCGATTTCTGTACTCCACCTCGACGAGCGGAGTAGCGCCAAAATCGATTTTGTTAATTCGAATTAGGGTTAGTGTGGCCGCACACCACCGAATTAATGTGGTTAAATTAATGGGGTAGTGTGGCCGCACACCACCGAATTAATGTGGTTAAAAACCGAATTAATGTGCTTAGTGTGGCCGCGCACAATCGAATTTATACAACCTGTTTCCCAAATTCGAATTATCTAAATTCGGATTAATCCCGTAGTGTAGACATACCCTTAAAGTACAACTACCAAGATTTGTTCTTCAG